TAGATGTTAGGGCCTGTTTGGCTAATTAAAGTGTTTTTTTATTTCGTTTTTTATTTCTGTTATGTCTGTTATTGTACTCAGGGGCATAAGGGTCTTTTCCCTTGTTATTTCTGTCGCCCTATATATAGTAAAATAAAGACTGGCGCCGCCAGTACTGTTACATTGCAAAACCTTCTCTCTTCTCTCCTCTCTTCTCTCCTCTTCTTCTTCTCTTCTCTTCTCTTTTCCTCTTATCTCTAGCCGGCCACACTGTCAAGAGTTTTCTCAACACTCTCATAGTGTGTGATTGTAACTTTTCTTTTTATTAGATTTTCTTTTTCTCAAAGGACCATTGCTTGATCTGGTGATAAACTCTTGGGCTGGCAAGAATGAGAGCACAGGTTCAAGTCTGAGGGTGGCCACTTTGTGAGAAACAAAAATGCCAAAAGTTAGGTCTGTATCCAGTCCACACACCTCCCAAGACATCAGATATTTGGGACCAACATTTGGGTAATGACCTTTTAATATATCTTCATTTTTTCACTACCAGATAGAATACGTCTGATTTGGTTTCTGGAGTTTCAATAGAAAACACTTGCTCTTTATATTAAGAGATGGTAATTGTACCTTTTTTTGGATTAATAACATATATATTTGAAGGACTGAAAAGGATACATATCATGGTACAGAGCTGCTTTGTGACAAAAGGGAAGTGGGAATGCCAAGGCCAAGAGGCCACACATACAAGAGAGAGGGAGGGAGAGAATACTTTGATTGCTAATGGTAAATACTAATTAGCAAAAACAAATTTATGGTTTGGGACCTTTGGCAAAAGGGAAGTGGGAATGCCAAGGTCAAGAGGCCACACATACAAGAGGGAGAGAGAGAGAGAGAGAGAGAGAGAGAGAGAATACTTCGATTACTAATGGTATGTACTAAGTAGAAAAAACAAATTTATGGTTTGGGACCTTTGGCAAATGATGCATTTAAAGAGGTTAATTTGAAGGAGTGCATCTTGAAGTTCTGCTCTCTGCATCACAATTAAATTGGAGAGCAGATTAATGAATTTTTCTTCACAAATCTATTAACTTTTGTATGCTCAAAACCTCATGTTGCAAATATCATGTACATGACTCGAACATTATTTGATAAAGATACAGCTCAAATAATAGCATTGTTTGACCTGTCATGTATGATGCTTCTTTTGGTGATGATATTATGAGTCTGTGACTTTATACTGCTTTATCATTTATTTCTTTCATTATCTTTCAGTTTGTTGCAATACATAATTAGTGGACTTGTGTATTTGGAGTTATAAGACATTGATATTGTTTATTAGAATGGATGCAGATAATGGGGTATAAATCTTATGCTGAATTTGCAGTGCATCCAAACATGGCTTCATCACCAGATGTTGTGATGTCCTTTTTGCTTGATTTAAGTACTATTGTCAGACCTAAGGCTGATGAGGTATTCTGTCTTATTTATGTACTTCTTATGATGTTAAGTTTTGGTTGGAGATCTTTTTTGATGTTTCTGCAGTCTGCACTTCATTGATGTTTCTTCACATTCTAGGAGTTCAAAACAATTAGGGATTTTAAATTGAAAAGATGTGATCAAAGAAATGAGGATTTAGAACCATGGGATGAATCTTACTTTACAGGGATGATGAAGTCTTCTGCCTACAACCTGAATTCTTCAGTAAGTCTATGCTTGCCATTTAGTATGTAGGTTGTCCACTTTGGACAGAAAACTCTAGCTTTATACCTTTATCTGGATATGCTTATTTATTTTCATGCAATACTCAACCCTTTTCTTCATTCATTCCTGTAACAGGATTTTATAGATAATTGTTATTCTTGCTATTTTGGGCAGGTTGTAGCATCATATTTTCCTTTATCTCAGTGTATTGAGGGTTTAAAAGTTCTGGTGGAGTCTTTGTTTGGTGCAACATTTTATAGCATTCCCTTGACTGCTGGTGAATCATGGCATCCAGATGTGCTTAAGATGGTGCTACATCATCCTGAAGAGGTACATTGACTTCTTGATTCATACCTCTCTAATGCAATTATGTGGTTAAACATTAATTTCTTCACTTAGAGTTCACTTATAGAATTGTAATTATGTTTTGCAATACAATTTGGATGCAGTAAATAATTTTTTTGATAAATGGTGATTGTATTAAAAGGAGGGAGAGGTTCCCTCAATGAACAAAAGATGCATTAGCCTCAAACTATTCCAAGAGACATCTGGAACAAAATTAAAAACAAGGGATTACATCCTTATAAACTTATTGCAATTTATACTTATAAAATCATTACCATAGACGATCCCTATCCAGTGACAATCAAAATTGCCATGACTGAAGCCGCAATATTCCTTTATGATACTGGTCTAACGGATTATTGTTTTTTCCACCTTTTCCATCACCACCTCCTTGCTAGTAATTTTGTCTTCAAATATTCTGCTGTTTTGTTCAGTCCAGACCACCCATCACATTACAAAAGACCAGATTCCAAAGTATTCTACCTCAACTGCTGAAATGCTGAAACTGTCATTGCCATGAAGGCATCAGGCCTGCCATATCTTCTGGGGTTACTTGCTGCCTATTGAAATAATTGATTTTATGTTTGTTAGGATCTGTTTGGCTGATTAAAGCCTTTTTATTTTAATCTGTACCATCACTTAATAGGGGCACAAGGGCCATTTCCCTTCTTATTTTTTCACCCTATATATTATAATGAAGCTGGCGCTGCCAGCACTGTTCCATTGCCTCAATCGTTCTTCTTTCTTACTTCTCTTCTCTTCTCTTCTCTCCTCTTCTCTTCTCTTCTCTTTTGCTGTAATCTTTAATCAGATTTACTGTCAAGATGGTATCAGAGCATGGCCATTGAATCTGGGCGATCAAGTGTCTTCTCCAAGCTGCTGAATCTGGGCAGAACAGAGGAGTACATCTGGGTTGATCGAATCAGACCTGCAACTGGTACCGCCCCATTTTTTTTCT